CCCCCGGCCGCTCAGCAAGCTGCGGGAGCTGCCCCTGCGGCACGACGCCAGCACCTGCCTGTGCTGCGGGAAGGTGCTGGACATGGTGCGCAGCAGCGACCCGTACAGCGAGTTCGTGCGCGAGGAGTTCAGCAAGGGCGCCCTGCGCAACAAAACGGTGGAGGACGTGCTGACGCCGCTGGACAAGTGCTTCATGCTGAGCGCCGGCGCCGTGCTGGACTTCCACAGCATGTCCGTCGTCATGCAGAGCGGCTACACCCGCATCCCCGGAAGGTGCTGGACATGGTGCGCAGCAGCGACCCGTACAGCGAGTTCGTGCGCGAGGAGTTCAGCAAGGGCGCCCTGCGCAACAAAACGGTGGAGGACGTGCTGACGCCGCTGGACAAGTGCTTCATGCTGAGCGCCGGCGCCGTGCTGGACTTCCACAGCATGTCCGTCGTCATGCAGAGCGGCTACACCCGCATCCCCGTCTACGAGGAGGAGCACTCCAACATCGTGGACATCCTCTATGTCAAGGACCTGGCCTTTGTGGACCCTGACGATTGTACCCCCCTGAAGACCATCACCAAGTTCTACAACCACCCGGTCCATTTTGTCTTCCATGACACCAAGCTGGATGCTATGCTGGAGGAGTTCAAAAAGGGTAAGCCAGCCCAGGCTGGGTTCTGCTTGCTTGGCTGATGTGTTGGGCTGGGCTGGAGGGCTAGCGCAGTAGGTGTGCGGCTTTAGTGGACAGACAGAGGAGCTCACAGGGGCTGCAACTGCGGGAAAGTGAGAGAGGAAATTCAGGGCGACCATCACGGGAATCTCTCCACCACTGGGCTCAGTTAAACCAGTGCAAATCCAAAGGCACCTCTGGCGGCCGTAGTGGAGTGGGGTCAGGGAGCTGAGCTTAGCCGTGCAGGCCTGTCCTCCCCACGGGAAGATGCTCTACGTCAAGGACCTGGCGCTGGTGGACCCTGACGACCGCGTGCCCCTCAGCACCATCATCAAGTTCTACAACCATCCCCTGCACTTTGTCTTCAATGACACCAAGCTGGACGCCGTCCTGGAGGAGTTCAAGCGAGGTAACCGCCCCAGTGCCCCGGGGCCTCAGGGATCCCCTTGCCAACAGCGCTCCAGCTCCATGCAAGGGGGTGCTGTCCTGCGGGGGCACCAGGGGGCTCTCTCCTTGCTGGGCTGGGAACTGTTAACCGGTTACCAGGAGATACCCAGGAGCGGCCCATGCAGTGCTCAGGTGGCTGGGTACACAGGAGTTAACTCCTTCCACACTGCTGGGCAGCCAACTTCCCATGTTCCCTGGGGGACGCCCAGGGCTGGCCTCTCTCCATGCACCAGCCGGGTGGGTCAGAGCCGGGACCGACTGCTGCCCCCTTCTTTGACTGGGGTCTGCCCCTGCCAGCGATGGCCGGGCAGGTTTGGCCCTGGCTGGCTCCTTGCTGCCGCTCGTGGCAGACGTGCCCTCCCCAAAGCAGGGCAGAGGCTGGGATTCAGTCGGATTTCCCTACCCAGCTATTGTGCCATCTAGTGCCATGCCTGGAGCCCCGCCCTCAGCGCAGTGAGCCCTGTCTCCCACCTGGCCTGGCTGGGCCAGAGCAGCGGGAGGTGAGGGAGTGCTGCTCTGGAAAGGGAGGAATCTGGTGCCTGGACCTGTGGTTAGCGTCTGTGGGATGCCTGCGGCTCCCGTGCTCTGGCTTTGGCCCTTGGGAACATCTTCCCGGTTCGGTGTCTCTTGGCTTCGGGGGGCACAGCTGGGCAGTGGAGTGAGCACGCTCAGCCCTTGGCGGAAGGACTGTGAAAGCGTTAACACAGAGAGCTTTGCTCCCAAGTGGTTCTTGGGCTTCTGAGTTGGCAGAAGCTAACCCAACCACACAGCCCAATTGCCAGCCCTGCTCCGCGGTCCCCCCATCGCCAGCAGGGGCTGGTGGACAGCAATCCGCAGCAAGCCCATTCGCGCTGCCCTCCCCTGATTTCAGTCCAGTGCCTCCCTCCCTCCCCATGGGTCCTGGGGAAGGTCACCTTCAAAGCCAGGCTCTTCCCTCCAGAGGCAGGGAGAGCGCTTGGAGGGCCTGCCCCTGCTGCCATGGAAACGTTTGGCAGGGCCAGCTCATGGCCACAGGGATCTTGTTCCTCAGGGCCCCTGGAACCGGCTGCTTCCTTCCTGGGCCTGGAGCGGAGCCCAAAGCCCCTGCCGCTCCGTGTGACCGTGGGCCAAGCCAGCCCTGGGCTGAGGGCGAACTAGAGGGTGGGCAGGGCGGGGCCTGCAGGAGGGTGGGTGGCCCCAGTTCAAGCCAGGCTCTGCCGCTGCCCTGCAGTGACCTTTGGTTGGCAAGGCTGGGGGCTGGGGGGCTGGCGGGTGGGACTCCCGGGTTCCGTGGGTGGCTCTGGAGGGGCTGGGGGGCTGGCGGGTGGGACTCCCGGGTTCCGTGGGTGGCTCTGGAGGGGCTGGGGGGCTGGCGGGTGGGACTCCCGGGTTCCGTGGGTGGCTCTGGAGGGGCTGGGGGGCTGGCGGGTGGGACTCCCGGGTTCCGTGGGTGGCTCTGGAGGGGCTGGGGGGCTGGCGGGTGGGACTCCCGGGTTCCGTGGGTGGCTCTGGAGGGGCTGGGGGGCTGGCGGGTGGGACTCCCGGGTTCCGTGGGTGGCTCTGGAGGGGCTGGGGGGCTGGCGGGTGGGACTCCCGGGTTCCGTGGGTGGCTCTGGAGGGGCTGGGGGGCTGGCGGGTGGGACTCCCGGGTTCCGTGGGTGGCTCTGGAGGGGCTGGGGGGCTGGCGGGTGGGACTCCCGGGTTCCGTGGGTGGCTCTGGAGGGGCTGGGGGGCTGGCGGGTGGGACTCCCGGGTTCCGTGGGTGGCTCTGGAGGGGCTGGGGGGCTGGCGGGTGGGACTCCCGGGTTCCGTGGGTGGCTCTGGAGGGGCTGGGGGGCTGGCGGGTGGGACTCCCGGGTTCCGTGGGTGGCTCTGGAGGGGCTGGGGGGCTGGCGGGTGGGACTCCCGGGTTCCGTGGGTGGCTCTGGAGGGGCTGGGGGGCTGGCGGGTGGGACTCCCGGGTTCCGTGGGTGGCTCTGGAGGGGCTGGGGGGCTGGCGGGTGGGACTCCCGGGTTCCGTGGGTGGCTCTGGAGGGGCTGGGGGGCTGGCGGGTGGGACTCCCGGGTTCCGTGGGTGGCTCTGGAGGGGCTGGGGGGCTGGCGGGTGGGACTCCCGGGTTCCGTGGGTGGCTCTGGAGGGGCTGGGGGGCTGGCGGGTGGGACTCCCGGGTTCCGTGGGTGGCTCTGGAGGGGCTGGGGGGCTGGCGGGTGGGACTCCCGGGTTCCGTGGGTGGCTCTGGAGGGGCTGGGGGGCTGGCGGGTGGGACTCCCGGGTTCCGTGGGTGGCTCTGGAGGGGCTGGGGGGCTGGCGGGTGGGACTGTTCTATTCCCAGCTCTGCTATTGGTTGACAGCGTCCCGCCCGCGAGTGCAGGTGACAGTCGGGAGCCATGGCGCTAAGTGCTCTGAGCTCCCCTGAGGTGCCGGGGCTGCTCTGTTCTGCCATCAGCAAACCAGCTCTCCCAGGCCAGAGGGGTGGGATTGGCGGGGAGCCTCTCTGCGCTCTGGCCAGAGCCCGACTCGGCAGTCGGAAGCGGCTGAGATGCCCGTGGGGGGTGGAGTCCATGTAACTTGCATCCAAGAGTCTGAAAAGAGCTGGCCCTGGGCCCCGTGGACTCTGATTTGATTTTCATTAACTCGGGGCACTGGGGAGGTTCCCGCAGGCTTGAGGAAAGCTGACGTTGTGCCAATATTTCACTTGGGTGAGCTGGCTTACCAAGGCGGCAGTCGGAAGCGGCTGAGATGCCCGTGGGGGGTGGAGTCCATGTAACTTGCATCCAAGAGTCTGAAAAGAGCTGGCCCTGGGCCCCGTGGACTCTGATTTGATTTTCATTAACTCGGGGCACTGGGGAGGTTCCCGCAGGCTTGAGGAAAGCTGACGTTGTGCCAATATTTCACTTGGGTGAGCTGGCTTACCAAGGCAGTCCCGGCACTGCCAGTATGACACTGACCCTGTGCAAGCAACCGAGTGGTCGATGCAGACTCGAGGAATAACAGATGAAAGGAAGCTGATCTAATTATTGCCAATTAACATGGGCTTTTGGAAAATCCATCCTGTGGAACTAGCCAGTCGCTTCTTGGGTGAGGTTACGAGTCTGGCTGAAAACGTAGCAGGGTGGACGTAGCGGACGTGCGCTTCTGCTGGGAGGTTGATCTAGCACTGCCCAGCGTTTGGTTACAGACTGGGAGGAGGCGCGATGAGTGTGGCCCATGTTAAATGGACTGAAAGCTGCTAGGTCTTGGGGGGTGAGGTCCTCTCCTACTGGACTCACTTCTGTGGCTGAGAGGGGAACTTGGGAGCTCGGGGCACGTCTTCCCTGCGGGCTGGGCCAATGGGCAGCCATCAGTCC